GAACTGATGCTGAAGCTGAAACTCCAATACTTTGGCCACCTCATGCAAAGAGTTGACTCATTGGAAAAGACCTTGATGCTGGGAGGGGCTGGGGGCAGGAAGAGAAGGGGATGACAGAGGATGAGATGGCTGGATGGCATCACCGACTCGATGGACATGAGTTTGAGTAAATTCCAAGAGTTGGTGTTGGACAGGGAGGCCTGGCGTGCTGCAATTCATGGGATCTCAAAGAGTCAGACACAACTGAGTGACTGAACTGACATACACATGTACACACACATGCACCTTCCCTAGATACACAGGTATAACTTCTTAGGTAATATATCTTTCTTACTTATACATTATATCTTTCAGAATCTGGCTCACAGCAGGTGGTCAGTATATATTTATTGGATGAGGGAATAAATGTATGGCAGGTATTTACTCAAGAGGGGCTGTTCTGGATGTTCTGTCATTGATGTTCTGGGTGTTTACACCACCCATGTTCTTAGCATGCACAGAACTGCTTCAGCAGACTTGAAAGTGTATGTGTGTGTGGGTGCTAAGTTGCTTCAGTCGTGTGCAATTCTTTGCAACCACATGGACTGTAGCCCACCAGACTCCTCTGTCCATGGGATTCTCCTGGCAAGAATAATGGGAGGATTGCCATGCCCTTCTCCAGGGGATCTTCCAGACCCAGGGATCCAACCCACATCTCTTATGTTTTCTGCAATGACAGGCAAGTTCTTTACTACTAGTGCCACCTGGGAAGCCCTTGAAAGTATATCTTTAACTATTAATGCTTATTTGGGGGCCAGTTTCTCATTGAAAAATGATGTGAAAGATAGTCATACTATCTTTGCACCTTTCTGATGCAAGTCAGATCCTGTGTTATAACAAGTTCAGAAGTGAATTTGTTCTTATGCCCCAAGTTTCTGGGAGGTAATCCAGACTGTTGGCATACAAGATGACTTTAATTTGAGAGCTATATAAACATTGCTTTTCTTCTGGACAGTTCTGGACCTTAACCAAATAAAAGACAATGTCATAGCTAATTAACATGTTCTCAGAAAATAAAAAGGCATATTTTGAACTTCTCCATACCCACCAAACATAGCTTCAGAAAGCTTAGGTGCCAAGATATTAAATACAGAATGCATCTTCAAATTAAGTCACTTTTATAATTGAACTTGAAAAGAAAAATAAAACAAGGTTAAATCTTATCAGGGAAAAGTCCAAAAAGCTTCCAGATGCTCATATGTTTAGCCCCTGAGGGTAGGTTAGAATATTCCAATTAGTGATAGGTTAGTGGTGGCATGGTTATGGTTTTTAGAGCATATTCTCAGGATGCTGCTTTGCTTTGATTTTCCACGTTTAGGAACAAAGTTTAGATGAGATTCAAAGGGGATGCAGAGGTGCAGTTTGATGGAGAGGCAGTTTTGCAAACTCAGTCCAGATCATATCTGTCATTTTGTGATAAATTGGACCTAAATGTGTCCTTTATGGGAAAGTTGAGAAAAGGTGATAAAATTTTTTAAATGGCCCAAGCCATTTCCAGTAAACTTCATTTGCACTCTTTGGTTACAGTGAGGCTGTCTCTTCAGTTAAACACAAGATTTCCAGATCCTCCATGTCAGATCTGTTACACTGGGATAGCCGTCAGAGGGTCTTGGAAACCCCTGAGGTGATGGACAGAATCTCTGTGCATGCCTTTGTGGGCATGTGTGTGAGAGCACATGTGTTCTCTGTTGGAGAAATGTCCAAACTCTTTCAGTGGGACAGGACTGCGGGAAAGAGACTTTTCTCTTGTTCAGGAAGAGACAGTGATTGGAAGAGGTTACATTTCCAGAGGTTACACAGTAACGCCAGGACAGGAGGAAGAAGGGTGTGAGGTTTCCCTCAGCTAATCCTGTGGTGGGCTGCACAGGGTCCCAGAGAGGGTCCGTGAAGAGGAGCCTCTGTACAGAGGATGTGAGAGCTTCCAGAGTCTGAATCCGACTCTACCCGTGAACTGAACTTGGTGATAATGGTCGGAACCCACATCTGGCATTTGCTACTCGTTTGAAAAACCAGGAAAGGGAGGGCATTTGAAGAGAGGGATGCAACTCTCATGGTAAACCCAGAGGTTCTTCATCTATTGAATTATTTGCTTTCACTTTTACTTATTTAAGTTTTTCACTTATTTATTAATTCAGCTATTTATTTTTTTTTATTTTTAAAAATTAAGTTTAATTTATTTAAAATAATTTTAAATTATTTTAATTGGAGGCTAATTACTTTACAGTATTGTAGTGGCTTTTGCCATACATTGACATGAATCAGCCATGGGTGTGCATCTTGAATCCCCCTCCTGCCTCCCTCCCCATCCCATCCCTCAGGGTTGTCCCAGTGCACCAGCTCTGAGTGCCCTGTTTCATGCATCAAACTTGGACTGGTCATCTCTTTCACATATGGTAATAGACATGTTGCTTTCACTTTTAAAATATTATTTTCCTCCCCTTCCATGTGTTAGTCACTTAGTTGTGTCTAGCTCTTTGCAACACTATGGGCTGTAGCCTGCCAGGTTCCTCTGTCCATGGGGATTCTCCAGGCAAGAATACTGGAGTGGGTTGCCATGCCCTTCTCCAGGGGATCTTCCCAACCTGGGGATCAAACCCCGGTCTCCTGAATTACAGGCAGATTCTTTACCATTTGAGCCACCAGGGAAGCCCTCTCCCCCACCTCTTTCTAGGAGGGCGGATACAAAATTGTAAAAAGTAGAAAGTTACAGTCCCAGTAATTTCCCTTACTAAGGTTCATTTCTAAGTGAAAACAGGTTTACATTTGGTCTAGATTATAAAAACATTCTCTGTGCATTATGCAAGTAAGAAGTAGGCAGTACAGGAAAATATAAGAGGGGGAAAAATTTCCCCTGAATCCAACATATTTTCTGTTTATGCTGGGATGTTTACACACCCAAAATGGACTGACACTGCACGTATTTATTTATAATGGAGACCCTTGTGAAGACTGCAGTGAAGAGAAAAACATTCCCATACTTGTGTATAAGGGGATAGGAGTTGTATCTGTCATTAACATTTTTCTGACTCTGAACATCTTCAGCATGTCTCTAGGGGAAGCAGGGAGGCAGTATTGACCTTCTCAGGAAATAGAAAGGGGATACCTGGCCCTGAGAATTGAATTCACCTTGGTGGGGGACATTGTTGGAAGTTGGCAGAACCAGGTTCTGTCCCAAGTCTTTGGAATGCTGATCTATCCAGGTCTAAGCTGAGCCCTTGGTCCTCAAAAGGGAACATGGTGATATGGGGTAATGGTGATGGTTGTCCTTGCCAGTGTGTTTTCCTGACCTCTTCATCAGCTTTTCCCTTGAGTCTGAGTGAATGAAGCCTCTCATACCATTGGTTACCAAGACTTCTTTGCTAGTTTAGAATATGTTCCTCATGTTTCTCCCACAGGCCACACCAAGTGTAATTTTAAAGCATGTATTTTACCTTCATGGAACACATGCCCCATTTTCCTCAACTTTGAATCCTTCCTAAAACCTATTTTCAGATCTGTAATCTGGAACAGTGAAGGGAACATTAAGTTTTTGTCCTCCTTTACCTTACTTTGGTGCTTATTTCAAAGCAAGGACTGGAAAGGGAAGGAGTAGAGGGACCTAAGAAGTAAATGAGAGGGACCTTGAAAATTTCTATTGAGATGGGAATAAAAGTTGGAGGCTACCTGGGGAGAGAGCAAGGAAGAATGATGTGATAGGACTTTTGTGAGACCAAGGGCAAGAGTTTGATACTATAAGAACATTAGGAAACTGGAATGTCTAGGTCAGAGATATTATAAACTACTTGATAGGCTACACGAAATCTATAACACAAGCTGGAGATGCCCTTTTACTATAAGTGTAGTGACACTGTTGTATGAGAGACAGGACTCCAGGATTTTTCTTTTGAATGAGGAGAACACACACCTGGGCTTATCACATGTTTCACTGGAGAAAATAAGAGCAGAAATTATTTTATTTCCCATCCAGTATTTTTCCTCCCACTAGATTTTGCTGTCCCTTCAGTGGTCCTTCCAACAAAGAGCATCTCGTAAAATGGGAAGGGTATTTTGCTGAGCAGATTTTAAGGAACAGGAAACTTACTTATTTTAACTGAAATGCAAGTGAAACTCTGTGCCTTTGACTACTGCTTGGAGTTTGCACAAGTTACTGCACATCTAAGAAGGCTGAGCCTTGGAGATCAACCCATATATAAAGTTGGATCTTGGTTTTCAACCAACAGTTATCAGGAGATCAGAGGTGAAATGTGATGCCTACAAAACTGATTCACTAAGAATTATGAGAGCTCTTCAGATAGTAGTTATTTATATAGTTATAAGTACAAGCACACACATAATGCTAGGCATGGTTTCTTTTTTAAAGATCTGATCCTTGTTTCTTACAGACTAGAAAGACTAATAGTGAACCCTTAACTAGAGGTTGGGTGTTTTATTATTGAAAGATGGAAAATGCAGGGTCTGAAGGAAGCTTGTTAGCCCTGATTTACTTTCTTGGATATTTTAGCCTTCTATTTAAACCATGAGTGATATTTTCTGTCAGATGTTTCGTTTAAAAATGACGATGTTTATGCAAGTATTAAGATGGAAAGATTTAGCTACTGAATAAAATTCTTTGTAATTAAAAAAAATGAAGATGTTAAAACAGATACATCTCATAATAAAGAAGCCTGGTGTCTTAGCTGAGAACCTGTGATGGAAATTGGATTTGTTTTCTGCTCCAGCCCTGAAAGCAGTATGTTTTGTGATGATGTCCTTCTATCTGGCCCACCCCTCTATCAGTCTGTCAGTCACCTGGAGATTTATCTGCATTCAGCATGAGCCCGATGAAGGTGGAAGCCAAAATGTTGTTGATAAATTTATGTATGTGTGCACAGAAGTGGTGAACAAAAACAAGCTGATGGAAAACACCCACTCAGGGAACCAATAATAATCTCTTCTTGCCCCTCTCACTTGCTTCCTTTCAGCAACCACTGGAAAGAAAAGACAGCCAGAATAGTTCCCAGCATAGTGTCGCCAGCCACCGAAGCCTGCACACTGCCTCCCCCAGCCACAGCACCCAGGTGCTGCCCGAGTTCCCACCCGCCGAGGCCCCGGCTCCAGATCAGACCGACAATTCTGGGCAGAAAAAACCAGATCCTTTTAAAATCTGGGCCCAGTCCAGGAGCATGTATGAAAATCGACGTGAGTAGCACCCTGGCTCCTGTCTTGCCTGGACCCCATCTTGGTGCTCCAACTCTGTCTTGAGGGTTGTTGAGAATAGATTGTCAGTGTGTGAACAGGAGAGAGATGAATCCAGGTGAAAGGTGACAGCATCTCAGAGCAGTGATAGAATCTGCTAGATATTCACTGAGGCTCTGTTCTGTCATCTGTTTGGGTGGGGTGGGGTAGTCATGGATGGTCATCAGATGAAGGGCCTGGGGGGGAAATGGATTTATTTTTCCTTTCTGTTAGAAGAAGTGGCAGATATGAGCTACTGCCTCATTAATGCTTTCCTGCGTAGAGATGGTGGCCTCCTTCGAGCTCCTGTCTTGTGAAAGGGCTCTCATATACAATAGAACATATACGATTGGTGTGGATTGCAAGAGTAATAAGAAGAAATTCAGTGCTTTCTTAGTGGTCTCTTGGTTTTTAATAACACTCGTAATGTTTTTAACTGTTATTAGGCTTTCTAAACCTTCCCTTCAAAAAGGAAAAAAAAAAAAGCAGTGGGTGTTTGTGCTTTAATTGTTTATACTGTAGTTGCCTGTGTTCCTTCAGCTTTACCTTTTTGATAAATGTGAACTACTGATGTCTTATTGGCTCTGATAAACTGAAAAGTCCCTGGACTTTTTCTTTTCTTGCTTTTTGTTGTGAGATGATTTCCAAAGACTGTTCACCACAAATAATATTCATTTATCTTACTAAATCCAAGTTCCTAAAAATGCTTTAATCTTAGGGTGTGCAAATAGACCCCCCTTCTCCCTTTTTTTTAGCTGTTGATTTTACTGACATTTTTTCCATAAGTGTGGTCAGGACAAAGTAACTATAAAGTACATGCACTTTGTTGTCATTGGGTAGGAGAGCATGTTTAACAAGGGTCTGCTGAAGAGTCTGATTAAAATTGGAATAGAGAAGGGAGTCATTCTGTCCATCCTCCTGGCCCCCACTCCCCTCAGCATAAGTGTCCTTTGGAGTCACAGCTGGCGTTCTCTCAGTTTAGCCCTCTGGAGAGACAAGACACAGAGGTGATGGGGGTATGGGAAGTGCTGCAGCCTGCTGCCCCCGCCTTGGACTTGGCCAGGAAGCAATTCCCTTGCTGGCTAAAGCAGCTCCTCTGTGACCCAAACCAAACAGGGGACTGAGCCCAGCAACCCTGTCTGAAAGCAGGCCACGCTGCTGGGTGAAAGTCGGCACTTCGGGGACACAAGGCCTGTCTTGGTGATGGTCAAGTGTTAGAAGTTTTCAGGGGTTCGCCTGTCTCCTTTTCCTCTTCAAGGGAGAGAGATCATTACCTTCTCACTATAGTAGTATGTGGAATTAAGTACACTCTTTTGGCTAAGGCTTCACTATGCTGGCAAAAGCCCGATAATTTGAGAAGGATTTATTTAGTCTCTGGACTAGAAAGACCCCTGGAGTACGCCTGACTTCAGGCCAGAAGAAATGAAGTTCCATTTGGAGCATCCCTTGTAAGCAGTATTGCTAAGCATGAACCTGGCGTCTGTTCTTACTGTGTCTTCTCATTGATTGTAATGATTTCATTGAAGAAATGTTTTTCAAAGAGGAATATGTTCACATTCCCTTCACATTTCCAAGCACACGGCTCCTCCAATCAATGACCCAACTTCACCTGATGTAGAGATACTGCTTTAATTGACCTTGTCCCTGCTTTTCTCAATAGAGTACACATTTATGACTGAGTTTCCCATGTATGAATCTTTTTGCAGTAAAACAATTTGTGTCCTGACATGCCGGTGAGGGCTACATGGATTGACAGACAATTCTAACACACTGAAGGAATATGAGGCTCTAGCTCAGATGCCATTTTTACCTTGATAGAAATGGTATGGCTATTATATCAAGTGGTATTTCTGTTATATCAAGACTTTGGTATTTAATTTTTTAAGAAGTTTTTACCAGGAAAAAAAAACAAACAAACTGTAATTCTGCCATAGCCAGCTGCTCAAAACCTAGAATGAGAAGCAGACTGAAACATTTGGAATGGTGCCTCTTTAGGCCTTGACTTTCTAGGACATGTAAGGATGTCTCATTCTCACAAACGAGAAGCAGTTTTGTTTTTTTTTGGCGATTCGAGGCTCCATAATTCAGTGATTGTAGAACCTAATTGATGTTAAAATTCAGATGGATTTCTTCCTCACGACTAAATGAGGGTAATGATAAGATTTCTCTCTCCATGATAGTTACTCAGTATGTATCACAGATTTTTTTTTTCTTCACAGTACCTATTGAATGAACCTACATTAGTCTTGTCTTTTAATCAGTATTTTTCTTTATTCCAGATCAGTTTCTGCCATTCCCACAGGCTGTTTTTTTAATCTGCTTTTTTGAAAAAAGGAAAAATTACAACATGTAGCCTCATTAGGTGTGATTCCCTGCCCCTCCCCACAAGGCAAAGTACTCCAGGAAAAACAAGAAAATTAAAGTCAGTGGTAGCACCTTCTTGTACCCTTAATTTATCCCCCTTTTGAGGGGGAAATATATTTTCCTTATGTTTTGTTTTATTGTGAGGGGCAGTGTGAAGATTCTTAACCAAGCCTCTGATCCAGTTCCTTCACATGGTCTGAATGCTGTGAATACCACATTCTTAATATGGCCATCTGTCAAAACATCAGTGTTCAGATGAATCAGTCTGAATTACAGATGTGTTAATAAATCCCTTTGATGAACTTAAATGTTCAGTTAAAAACAAGCGTGGAAGTCCCTTAAAAGCCACATTGCCTGCTTTGTATTTTTTCTAGATTACATGGCAGTTGTGCATATCTTTAAAAAATGACATTGATGAAGTCAGTTATTTGTAAATGTTCAGGAAGAGCAGCTGGTATCCACTAGTGTTTACTACAAAAGAAAATCTAAAGCTTTCACTTGAAACTTTACCTGTTCACAAGAGAGTTGGGAAAGAAAAAATGACAAAGCTGTCATATTAACCAGCGTACACCTGTCCCTTGAGAGACATGCTTACTGAGCTCGAATTGGTGTACAGCTCCTTTATCATGGTTTAAGAAGCTTGGAAGCTCTAGATTTTAAGAGCTATTGTGACAGTTCTTACTTGTGTATTTGTTCAACTCTTGGCCAGATCTGATGACTTGTGTCACTCAATAAAAGAGTATTTTGGTTGAACTGCCAAGAATACATCTGAACAGGTATTAGTCCAAGAATTAATTCCATCAGAAACTTGATATTATTTTAAATGACAAAAGCATGCTTGCATTTTTCTCAAAAGGAAATAAGTGGTTTAGATAAATCTCAAGTTCATGACATGATTCAAACAAGGTCATATGAGAATGGGTACTTTAGAGTATAATTAAATAGGAAGAGTCTTAAGATGGTAATGCTGGTTCGATGAAATTCTCAATAGTACAGTTGTAAATTCTAGCTTTTTGACAAGAAAAGTACCATGAAAAAGAAAAGACTCAAACTATAGTCTTTTAAAATCCACAGCAGCCTTGACCTTTACTGTGAAAGCTTAACTGCACATTCCTTATCAATCAAAACTAAATTTAAATGAAGTAAGAGAAAGCACATACATTAAGCTTTGCAAAACTGTGACATTAATATTCCAGCTATGTCACCTTCGCCTGCATCGGGATTGAGCAAGGGTGAAAGAGAGAGAGAAATCAATTCCACGAATTTTGGAGAATGTCAGAGTAAGGATCCACTGAAAACTTTCATTTCTCTATTATTATTCATCTTGTTTGATGTTCCCATTGGTCCGGGGGTGGGAAGAAACTCAGGAAAAGGAGGGAAGAAAGAGGGATGCCAGGAACTGAAGTGTTTGGGACTTTCTTATTGACCAAGCCTAGATCAAAGACAAGGTGAAGTAAAGAGTGATAGGCATGTTGTAACCAAGTCTGCAAATATGTTGTGTGTCTGTAGTGATGGAGACACCAGGATGGTTCTCTGCAAACCTGGTGATTCCATTGTCTCTAATTATCAAAGGAAGTCTTTTGACTGCTCTGTTGGATTGTTGGTAGAATTACCAGAGCGAATGAGCTCCTCTTCTTGTCTCATGTGCCAGGGCTTAGAAGTAAAGAGCTGGATGAGATTTTCCTAGCTCTTCTTGATCTAGACTGGGAAAATAAAAAGGTGATAGTAATATCAGAAAGTTGGTTCTACCCTGCTACCTCCTAAAAACTTAATTCTAATAAAATCTTCCTAAAATAAAGAAGAGAACAGAAAAACATTTGGCAGGGGGAGTAGTTTAGAAACTTTAATGCCATTGGGAATAAGAGGCAGCAGAGGACAGAGAAGATAAAATAATTCTGTAATACGTTTCAGTACAGATTGATCACCGAAGTTCTGTGTTTGGTACATAGTATTTGGTTGGTAGAAGAACATAATTGTCAAAATGCTCAAGTTCAAGAGCCAAAAGACTTTCTTTGTAACTTATCTGTGTTTGTGTGTGTTTTCCTGAAGGTTCATTGTTAGCGTCTTCTGCATCCTTGGGGTCTGTCATTGGGCGTCTTCATTTTCAGTCGGACACTCTTTAAGTAAATTTGTCATTTGCTTATTTCTGAGAACAAGTTTTTTTCCAGTGGGTTAAACTGTTTGATAAGCCTAAGTCTGTTGCTACATTTGGTGTCACTATAGGATGGGCAAGTGTTCTGGTGTTAAATGATGCTGCAATAAAAATAAAACTTGGTCTGGGCTGGAGGTCTCTGCAGAGGTGTTTTGTTGTTCACAGAAAAGTTCAGCTATTTTCAGGCAGACTCTGCCAAGAACCTTGTATTGGCTGGAAAGCACCCATGGTCTATTTTGGTAATAATCCTCCTGCTTGAGTGAACCTAAGATGGAGACTCAACTTGATTTAATTTGTTGTTTCAATGAGGCTATTACAGCAAATACCCTTTAGCCAGCTACTCAAACAGAAAGAAAATATTGTTACCTTAGCACGCTCAAGAAAATATCATTCTCAAATTGTGTTTCTGAGAGTACTGTGATGTAGCTTAACTCCATGTACCATGGCGTCTTACAGCTTAGCCCCGGCAATTATAAAATGCGTTGGATAAGAAGATTCATTGAAAGCACAGCATTAAGGTAGCTCAAGCACAAATATTGGATTCAGACTCCTCTGACTTGTATTTACCTGTTCATTTAGTTTCCTCTCTCTTGGCATATTCACTCACTGTACATTTTAAGCTCATGGGTGAGTCCCCAAAATGGGACATCTGTCACCTGCTTGAAATCTGAACAACCACCTTCTTCTTTCCTATCCCATTGTACAAAATCAGAGAAGGTGGAAATTAAATTCTTAGTATCTACACACTCCTTCAGCCCACACTCCTTCACTCCAAAGCCAAGGAATTAAAGAAATTCTGCAGAGCAGTATTTGAAAATCTCTTTTAGGATTCACAGCCACCAAATTTTTTTTTTCTCTTTAAATAAAAGATTTGTCATTTTATAGACTATAAAACACACTACAAATACACTAAAATATTAAGTAAGAATTAAATAGGAATAACCCTTTTTTATTTCCTTAGTTAAGTCATAATGGTGTATAGGACAGTCTCATGTACAGTAAGCATGGTCTTATGGAAATTACTTTTCTTTAAACAAAAAAATGAGATTTCCATTTCAAAACCCTGAACTATTACTGCGTTTTGAAAGTAAAATATCATTATTGGATAATAAATTAGTACTTACAATGTTGAAATATTATAGGCAAATCATGGAGTAAAAAACTCATTTAGTGATGAAATATAGTTCATTTATGTAGAACAGTTTGTTGTCCCCATTGATCTTAAGGATATAGAAGGCTGGCTACTTTTTGGTAATAGTAGTGAAATCATAATAAATGTTCTAAATTGGGAAATATTAGGATGTTTGAGAGTAACTTGTTTGGCAAAAATGACCTAACAGATCATATTATCAGTGTGCTAGTCTTAATTACTTTAAGGAAAAACAGAAGTGATTTTTTTTTTAAATAGTTTTTGCCATAAGTTTTTTTTCATCTTGTAGTTGATAACATTGGCACTTAACAGGTCTACTGAATCCTCGTCCCCCGCCTCTGCATCAGAGGTCAGTCTGACTTAGCATGAACTCCTTCCTCAGATATGGGCACCCACTTTGTGGTGCAGAGCATGACAATTTTAATTTACTAAATTCCTCTTGGAACAATACCCAGGAGAGTGGCGAGCGCTGACTGCAGCCTTCATCAGGGATAATTTCTTGATGAGGAATTATCAAACAGTGATTAGTCCTTTGGAAAAAAAAAAAAAAAACACTTCAGGCTCAATGACTGTCCCCACCATTTATTTCCACTCACTGTCCTCTTTTATTTCACCTGTCCAGATTATTTTGTTTGCTTGTCTGTGTTTGAAAGCTGTCATCCATTCAAGCACCATCAGTATTGGTCCTGTCACTGTGTTCGCCTTAGGGCTCTGATTCTTTTTATCACAGAAATAATCTCTCTCTTCCTCTCCCTTCTCTGCAGTTCCGGATTATCAAGAACAGGACATCTTCCTCTGGAGAAAAGAGACGGGATTTGGATTTAGGATTCTCGGTGGCAATGAACCAGGGGAACCTGTGAGTCTCTTGTCTCCCTGCCCCGTCCTGTCCCTCACAGTACTAATTTCTAAGAATTCAAAACCAACTGGCATCAGTGACAGATCACCAAGATTTGAGTCCCACTAGGTGCACCCAAAACTGTTTTCATCTTTTGGGGGGGGGAAAAAGTTTGATTTACAATGTTGGTGTTAATTTCTGCTATACAGTAAAGTAATTCAGTTATATTTATATATATATATGTATCTTCTCTGGCTCTTTCATCTTAACCAGTGGGAGTTATTCTTTGGATTTTGTGGAGCTCTTTCTGTCTTGAGGAAGAAGAGACTAGATCATTTCTAAAAAGTGTGTATTCATGTTTGTGGAGGGTGGCAGCTGCAGCATCTGTAGCTCCCTATCAAAGAAACGGAAACCAAAAAAAGCAAAATAGGAATAGACATCAGGTGAGAACACAATGGCCTGATCCTTCTGGCCAGTTCTGCTAAATCTGCCAGCAGGTCGTTGGCTTTGTATATTGAGCAGCTAGGACTTAGAAGGCACTTGACAAGGCATTATGAGAGATTAGAGAAAGTAGGACCACTCTTTACAAAATTAGAGAAAGAATCCTGAACAAGGATCAGGAGACATTTAATCTCTCCGGGCCTCATCTTTAGAATACATTGAGGAGACCACCACGGGATTCTTTTGAAAAGGGAAAAAAGAACTAAAGATAAGTATTGTTCAAATTTTCCTCATCATAATAAAAATAGTTATCATTTTTTTTATGTGCTTACTATGTGCCAGTTGCTATGCTAAAGGCTTTTAACATACATCCTTCTCATGTATGCATCAAATCTATGAATTTACCCCCATTTTCAAATAATGAAATCACAGAAAAGTTGATGTGATCTTGCCTGGGATCACAGAGTTAGTAAATGGAAGGACTGGAAAGGCTGTGATTCCAGAGTCCATATTCTTAACCACTTTTCTACCAAAGTTTTTTGTAAAAGATACATGTCACATAAAGACCATTGTGCATTATTACCTAGTGAGAAGGGAAGGAAAACATAGATGTTTTAGCTAAAGTTTGTGATGTGCTCAGTCACTCAGTTGTGTCTTAACTCTTTGCGACTCCATGGACTGTAGCCCGCCAGCCTCCTCTGTCCGTGGTATTTTCCAGGCAAGAATACTGGAGTGGGTTGTCATTTCTTTCTCCAGGGGATCTTCCCGACCCAGGGATCAAACCTGTGTCTCTTGTGTCTCCTGCATTGCAGGCAGATTCTTTACCACTGTGCCACCTGTGAAGTTCAGTGACTGGTTAATATAACAATACCTGCTCTGCATGCCAATGCTATAGACTATGGAAATAGGGATGCCCAACCAGACTTTGCTTGATTCACCCTTTCGTTTAACAATATTTATCGTGCATTCCCTATTGCTAGGCACATGCTGACCTTTAAAGAAAAGTTGTATTACTGTTATACTTAGCAGAATTTTCTGAACAGAAGGCTTATAGGTAGATAGAAAAGGAGAAAAAGTTTTGCCCATGAAGGGAGTAAAATGATTGATTTCTGCAAAGGGGAAAAAAGAATGAGTCATCAGCAAACCACAGATAAATGTCAAGGAACCAAACAACAAAAAGTTATTTTTTTCCACCATTTAAGAGTTATTGTACCACCTAGCACAGCAGCTAGAACCCAGTGAGGGGCACGGATGCAGACACAAATGAATGGACTGAATTTTGCTCAGAGATGTGAAGGCCATCGTTGCACTGACAAGCCTTGTTTTATTAAGCTTTGCAAAAATTACATTTTTTTACAAGTTGAAGTTTGGTGCCAACCTTCCATTGTCAGATGATAGTTAGCATTTTTTAACACGTAATTTTTTTTAAATTAAGGTATGTACCTTTTTAGACATAATGCTATCGCACACTTACTACACTACAGTATGTGTTTGTATGAGCACTTAGTCATGTCCAGCTCTTTGTGACCCCATAGTCTGTAGCCCACCAGGCTCCCCTGTCCATGGAATTTCCCAGGCAAGAATACTGGAGCAGGTTGCCATTTTTTTCTCTAGGGGGTCTGTCTGACTCAGGGTTTGAGTCCATCTCTCTTAGGTCTCCTGAGTTGGCAGGCAGATTCTTTACCACTAGTGCCACTTGGGAAATCAAAACTACCAGCATAGGATAGGGTAAACATAACTTATATGCACAGGGGAAAAAAATCATGTGACTCGCTTTGTGGTGATACTTGCTTTATTGCGGTGATCTGGAACTGAACCCACAATATCACCGAGGTGTGCCTGTAACAGTAAACCAAAAGGTTAGTGTTTCATCTATCATCTAATTACTCGACAGATTTATATCGGTCACATCGTACCACTGGGTGCTGCTGATACGGACGGCCGTCTGAGGTCTGGGGATGAATTAATCTGTGTGGATGGGACACCAGTCATTGGAAAATCACACCAGCTTGTGGTCCAGCTTATGCAACAAGCCGCCAAGCAAGGCCACGTCAATCTGACAGTGCGGCGTAAAGTGGTGTTTGCTGGTATGGTTTTCATTCATTCCTTTAGACGTTGCCTTGTCACTTTATGCACAGAAGAGGCCCCCTTCCTGTGTCTGCCTCCTCAAGCATCTATTTTAGCAAATGTTTGCAAATGTGATTAAGCACAGAATTTCCAGATGGTTTACTTCTCTCAAACCCTCCAAAACTACTGTCACTCAAAAGTACTTTAATGTGCCAGCCGTGCATATCCAGCAAAGGCTTTTAGAATAAAGCTAGTTGAATATATATGTTATGTCCCTCCATCCCCTTGCCAACCAGACCTTAGTCGTTGTCTTCATTTGATGAGAATTCTCAACAAAAGAGGTCACTGTGACAGGTGAATTGTAGCACCCAAATAGGAGAGCAAAAATCAGTTTCATGCTGCCAAATAAACTTATAAAAAAGTTGCTCTGTTGTTGACAGCCATATCTATTAAACTATTTTAATTTTTTACTTTTTCTCTATAAGAAAGCCGTATGGCTAGCCAGTTTTAGGTTATCTTTGATTTCTTCCTCTACACCTGGGAGTCCTGTACATCCTTAACTCAAATGTAACCTGTTTTGTAAAACCCTTGGCAATTCTCTACTCCCTCCAACTGCCTGCTGATTTTAGCCTTCCTTTCTTACCATCCTTGGGAATCATGGTTTACTTCTGTGTTAGGATCTGCCATTTTGAGACAGTCCATTGAGTGTCTTCCTTTCACATTCATTCATCACCTTTGTTGGCAGCCCCCACCTCCAGGTATTCAAGACAACCCAGAATGCAGAAGAAAGAAATTCCATGTTATATCAGTGGAATTACTGAAAAAGTATGGCATGAAATTTCATGAACTCTCCATAGCTATAGTACTAGTGAAACAGCTACTTATCAAATAAAATCAACTGGCTCCTTGTTTAGGAAAAATTAGTAGAACTCACTTCAACGGTATATAATTAATTTCAAAAGAATTAAGACATCAGGGTCCAGTGTGAGAGCCCTAATACCTATTGCCGCCATGGAAAGCAGTGTTAATCATTTATGTCCTGAGAGCTCATTTATGGCGTCAGGATAACGTAGTGTCCCATGTAGCCAACAGCAATCAGAAATGACTTTTAAGATGAGTTGAAGACTTTTTATTTCACTGTTCCAAATAAAAATAATAGAGCAATGAGATTTTTGTTTGTTTCAGATTTATTTTTTAAAATCTTAAATATTGGGGGTTTTGAGCTCTTGGGTAAAAAGGCCTATTAAATCTTTGGAGAGACATAAGGCTCAGTGAAATAAGCCAGTCACAAAAGGACAAAAATGGTATGCTTCTACCTCCATGAGGTGCCTAGAGTAGTCAATATATAGACAGAAAGAATGGTGGCTGCCAGGCATTGGTGATTAGTGATTAGTTGCCAGGGAAAGTGATTAGTGTTTAAAAGATACAAAACTTCAGTTTCAGAAGATGAAAAGTTCTGGAGATAGCTGGTGGAGATGGTTGTACAACTGTGTTTCTATACTTAATGCCACTGAAGTATATATCTAAAATGCTTACAATAATGAGTTTTAGGTTCTGTATATTCCTACCATAAAATGGAATCTATGAAAGGAGATGCTTTAGGGAATAAATTTAGTAGTCCTATCCAAAATCTGAACCCATATTTTGCTTTTGGCATGAAAAATAAGTGGTCCCACCCACTTTTGTGGCTATCTAGGAGTGGTTTACCCTGTCACTTAATAAAGCAATAAAACTGGAATTTGATAAAATGAATTCTGAGGGAGGTTAATGTATCCAATTGTGTGATCTGAGTGGATCATTGACATCTGGAAGCTGGGGAGAAAAGTGAAGTATACCTCTGACAGGTGTTGTCAGGAATCCTGTAGTAGGGACATCATAATGGTGCTGTCAACTTATAGTCTCTCTGATGGAAAAAGCAGAAGCAAAACTTTGCAAAGCTAAGTAGAAATATGACTTGAGGGTAATGACAACTTGAACGCAGATACGTCTCTGAGGCAAAGATGGTGGACCACATCTTATGCTTCCTTCAGTGGGTTGTTTTTGTTCGTTTCATTGAAGTCTTACTGCTGTACAATATTATATATGTTACAAGTGTATAATACAGTGATTCACAATTTTTAAAGGCTATACTCCATTTGTGAAATGAAGTGAAAGTCGCTTAGTCATGTCCAGCTCTTTGCAACCTCATGGACTATAGCCTGCCAGGCTCCTCTGTCATGGAATTCTCCAGGCAAGAATACCGGAGTGGGTAGCCATTCCCTTCTCCAGGGGATCTTCCCAACCCAGAGATCAAATTCAGGTCTCCTGCATTGCAGGCAGATTCTTTACCATCTGAGCCACCAGGGAAGCTCATTTATAGTTATTATAAAATACTGGCTACATTGGAACATTGTAGAATATATCCTTATAGCTCATTTTATACCTAATAGTTTGTACCTCTTACTCCCCTACCACTATACTGCCCTTCCCCCCATCTTCTGCTCTCTGATAACTGCTAGTTTGTTCTCTGTATGTGTGTCTGCTTCTTTTTTGTTAATCCACTAGTTGGTTGTATTTTTTAGATTCTACACGTAAGTGATACCATACAATATTTGTTTTCTCTGTCTGACTTATTTCACTTAGCATAATGTCAAGGGGTCATTTTTCAATCTATGAAGCAGGAAATACTTCAGAGTGGGCCAGTCTTACTGCAGATTTGAGTCCCAATACAGATGCTGATACACAGTATGCCCTAAATGTAACAGAGTCTGGGTGTCCCCTTTGTTGTTCTCCCATGGTATCGGTGTCTGTAGATCTTGAATGGTAACTACTTATCAGAGTGGTTTTCAGTTCCTGTGTCTCAGTTATGTGAGGCCAGGTGCTGTCGTAGCTGTCACCCTCTTGATTTGGTTGTGGAGTGGATGGGGGAAGTAGGCAGGGCTGACAGGGCACATTTCTTGCAGAGGCAAGTAACCAACAGGTACGTCTCTTGCACAGCCCCCAAAACCGAGAACGAGGTGCCCTCGCCAGCCTCATCCCATCACAGTAGCAACCAGCCGGCCTCGCTGACGGAGGAGAAGCGGACCCCGCAGGGCAGCCAGAACTCGCTGAACACGGTGAGCTCGGGCAGTGGCAGCACCAGTGGCATCGGCAGTGGCGGCGGCGGCGGCAGCGGCGTGGTTAGCACCGTGGCCCAGCCCTATGACGTGGAGATCCGGCGCGGCGAGAACGAGGGCTTCGGCTTTGTCATCGTGTCGTCGGTGAGCAGGCCCGAGGCCGGCACGACGTTCGGTGAGTGTGGTCACTTCTGCTCCCCAGCGTTTCCTGGGGTGGCTGTTCTCTGGAGAGGGAAAGACGAGCCAGAATCTCATTAACAGAAATGCTTGTCATGCTTTCTGCTTCAGGTAATGAAAGTCTTAATTGGGGACGGACTTTATTGGGTAGCTTTTCCCCTCCTGAAGGTTGGGATTTTTTTTTTTTTAACTCTTCAGCTTCCATTCTGATAGCACATTCACAGGCAGACAACTTCATGCATAGGTGACATTTGCAAAGAAACCCCTTGACAGGATGAAGTGTGAAAAATTCTTGCCATAGAGAGACCTTTGCAATGTCCTGAGCACAGTATCAATCATAGCAGTTGTCTCAGGAGGTCTCCACATTTTTAAAAGAAGCATATGGTTGTAGAAATAAATGTCTGGGGGGAAAAATAGAGGTGTGAGGAGTAAAAAATATACATGCAATGCCCTTTCCATCTTATCTGTGTCCTGCCTCTACTCTACCTATCTCCATCTGAAATTTTTAAATTCTAATTTAAAATAATATGTTTACTGTTGGCTGGTGGAGAATCTAATTAAAATCTGAGTGCAGAGCTGTTTGTCTTCACTGCCCTTGAATTCTTGCAGGGGTGGTTGTCCTGTCTCATCCAGATGTTGGGGGTTTCAGCAGAGACTGGAGAAACACAACTACCACCCTCTGCAGGGTGCACAGGCTGAGACAAATAGGAAGCCAGGTGATTCTAGGAACTAGGAATCATGAGTCTTCCTATTAAAATGGATCATAAGTATGTACTCCAGAACTGATCCACCTTCTTCATTAAATAAAATGTCATTTGTTGTTTTCCCCAAGCACATTTGTTAGTTATATGGAATACGATGGGAGACGGGAAGGGCTGTGCAGGCTTTGAAACATGCTTCAGCTCTGTCTCCAAATGACCTGCCCACAAGGAGTCTGAGGACCAGTGGTCCAGGTCGCTTGCTGGCTAACATCGGCTAGGTGCTCCGTCCTATTGGATTTCTGCTCTGGTGCAACTCCGCTTGTCTCCGTTTAGTCTTGGTACTTTGCTTCCTGCTAAAGTCATGTCCCTTTAAGGTGCAAACTTGAGGGGGACAGTGCGTCAAGCCAGGTCTGTGCATGTGTGGCTGCAATAACAAACACCCGTTACTAACAATGCCTCTGTGAGCTCTGTTAAGAGCATTATCACAGCATGTCATGGGTGGTGGGTGACTTGACCTCAAGGCAGGGTAGTTTTTTGGTTTGTTTCTCCATTAGTTTTGAAGACTTTTCCGCCCAATTTAAAAATAAAAAGAAAACCAGAGGGGACAAAGACATCTCAAGTTATTTTCTTCAGATCTACAGTTTGTCCCTATGCACCTGGTGATATTCTCAGAATTTGAGTTCTCAGTTTCCCCTTCTAGAATGAAATAACAGATATGTCTGGTGGGAGGTTTTGTGGTTTAACAGATATCGAATGTCTTCACTCACAATTTGGTCTTTGATTGTTTTCCTCCAACTTTTACAATGAACAAATTAAACTTTCCCTAATACCTTGCATGTGACTTTCTCTTCTGAGCTATGCAGAGCTTTCCTCCCGCCTGCTATATGATACCTTTCCCATGGGACTTGTCCTTGGAGATGGGCTAAACTTAATCAAGACCTTGAATTTGAGCATGGAGGCTTTCCACCACACCTGCTTGTTGCTTTCCAGAAGACTGTTTAATTCTCTTTTGAAAAATTATTTAACCTTAACATCCAGTGATGCAGACTCAGGCAAATATGCTGAAATTCAAAGGAATTGCAGCTCATTTCCCATACGTTTTATCCTCACACTCTGAATTAGGATGGAAGAGCCTTCTATTTCAGGGTTTCCCATGTTAATTTTATCACCTTTTCCCAAAGATGGCTCAACTATGTAACTATCTTTACAGAAAGACAAACTCTCAAAATCAGTGGACATGCCCAAGAAGGTTTACAACTCGGTATGCAAGCATCTGGAAACCCTAATCAGGCCTCAAAGCCTATTTTCTACCTCTCTTCTAAAAGTTACCAGCCACTCTTGGTTGTGACATGAAGTGCCTCAGAGCACATCTTCTTCAAGTGCACTTTCCCTGATTTTTCCTGTCTGAGCTGTATAGTAACTGAGGAGGACAAAGGAAATGATTAAAGAAAAAGGGTTGAGGAATGATTTGAACCTAGCTTCAGATCACTGTCCTCAGTCTGAGTATGTACTAGATTTTCTTATGGCTTTGAGGGGATTTCTATGAGGAAGAAGGAGGATTTCAGAGCTAATGAGCCATTTGGGCCCTTCTCTAAAAGCCCACGAGAGCAGCTGATTGAGCAAAGGTCATAAAAGGAAAAATGCGTGTCAAGGTTGGGTGCTTTCTTGGCTCATCGTATAATTATGCCCCTTTGCTAAAGCTTTCATCATGCTGCATAGCAGGCAGAAAGTCTAAGTGTTTGTCTATTAGGTGTTTTCAGATTGGATTTTTGGCACTGGTGGACTCTCTGACCTCACTAGACACCCAGTGATTGTTTTTTCTAAATGGAGAAAGAACAAAACATTGGCAGAAGCTTAAGCAACATCTGGCAAAAATGAAGTGACATGAACACAGAATGTGCAAAAGCTTCCATCCCAGCTCTGGGTTTCATGTTTGAAGTCCTCAAATAAGCCCATGGCAAGTTACTCTGGGGGCTCTTGAGAATCTTTGGAAATTGCTAAAGATCCCAAATTTTGCCACTGATAGAAAGAGGAAAGCTGGGGTGTCCCCCTCGTTTTAAATCGGGAAAGGACTGCAACGATGAACTATCGTTTAGGACTGTAACTTCTTACACAAATGCCCGGAACTTTGCCAATGTTTTGACCCTCGGCACAGAGTTCTCCTTTAATAACATTTGCTTAATGCTTTAATTAATTAACACTTAACCTTCTCTTTCCCTTTTCAACCCTTTTTCTCCTCCCTTCACTCTATTCCCATGTAACGTTAAAAAAAAAAAATTAAAACTGACTATCAAAGCAGGCAATGCATGTGTGGCCATGCCTCACAAAATAGGTCGGATTATTGAGGGGAGCCCTGCTGACCGATGCGGCAAGCTGAAAGTAGGAGACCGGATCTTGGCAGTAAATGGATGTTCCATCACCAACAAATCCCACTCTGACATTGTCAACCTCATCAAGGAAGCGGGCAACACAGTCACCCTCCGCATCATCCCTGGGGATGGTAAAGTATACCTCTTGTGTGTGTCTGTCTCTCTCTCTCTTCGGCCTTACTCTGTCTTTGGTGTTCATGTAGTTGAATAGCGTTGCCTTAAGAGACAGTCCTCTCCGACCTTCTCTGAGTACACCCATCAAGCACTCCTGAGCCACTGTTACTACATCACCTCACCTTCTTGACGTCATCCTCTTGCCCAGGGACCCTGTCTTGCTACAGAGATAAACATAACAGAAAATTTTTAACTCTCTCCAATTTATTTTAGCGTGGTGTCCTTGTCTTTAAAACAACAGAATAGTTTGAGTATAGGTGGTAAAACTTGCCTGATATTCTACCTGGAAATTATTAAAAAATAGGAATGTAAAATCAGAGTGTATGGTATGATGATACCATAAAACCTATGTAAGGACAATGGAGAGCCAATACTGGTTTTTTAAAATTTTTTTTTGATCAGAGTAAGTTTTTTATGTTTTTTATTTAATAGGAAGTTATTAGAATTGGTGCTATATGATTTGTCTCTAATTTTTGCATGTGGATGAAGAAAGAATAAAATCTCAGTATTTTTAATATTTTGACAGGCTTCCATTAAACTAGGCGTGTTCTTACTTGTTTGTTTGATTGGTTCAATTCAGATCTTTGGTTCTTTTATAACAGTGGTGATTCTGCCCCTAGGGGGACATTTGGCATTGTCTGGAGTAGGTGCTAACTGATAATCTAGTGGGTAGAGACCAAGGACACTTCTAAACATCCTATAGTACACAGGACCACCCCCACTACCAAAAGTTTTCCAGCAAAAAATATCAGTACTTACTTTATTATTCTTATGTACTATATTATTATATTATATAATACTTACTATATTACATTACATTATATTTACTTATTTTAGTATTATTTAATAAAAATGGAGTTGATACACTAATGTCTCTAAGAACCTTCAGAGAATTAAGTCCTGTATAATGACTTCCTTCTAAGCAGACTTTGCCCTTGAGAAAAAAGTGATACTTTTCCCAGAATGTTTCAGTGTCTTTTTTTTTTATTCTTACTATATATTTTATAAAATAAAATATATTCCAAAAGTCAGTGGGTATTTCTCAAGAGAAAACTGTGGTTTATGGTGATAGTGTGATAAAATTCTATGCCACTGATCTGTAAAATAAGAAAATCAGAAGTTTTATCTCAAAGTAATTCACCAGATCAACATTTTTATCTACCAATTGCTAGAAAGTGAGCCATGTTAATTTAAAATTTGAGTACTATAGGCTGTGCATTTCAGAAGATGTAAGTCTAAAACCAAACAATAAATATTTGAAAATTGTTCATTCTAAGAACAGGGATGTTTCTCTGTACCAGAAATACCCTCTGCCAAATGTGGAGGGAAAAAATAGCTCCTTGAATGATGGTCTATTTCAGCCTGCCTCAAATGCATGGTTAGTAATTTACCATCTGGTCTAGAGTCCATTCTACCAAATCACCACTCTGGAAAGCTATTACAATTTAGGAAAGTGGTCACAAGATGATATAACCTAGGTTCCTAGTGGAAAAGATGAAGGAAGCTAGGAAAATTTGGTGACAAATGGTGGAGAGAGCCTAATGTAGTATATAAATTTAGATATATTTATCTCCATGCTGTGGTGGGATTTCAGAAAATTAATTCAAAAGAAATGAACACAGGATATAACTTGCTGAGTCTATGTTGGTTAGTCTGTGGGAATGAAAATTTCCAAAAAGGAAGGAAGGAAAGAAAGAGCTCCTTGAGGGAAGAGCTTAGAAAAGAATTCACAATCAGGAAAGATAAATATGCAGAAGCAACTTATACTCCTGTGCACATAGTTATTGAGTTAAATTAATATTGGGCAAGGGAAAGTATTTTTTGAGAACCTGAACACCAAAAAATGGAAAGCAAGATAGATTATCCAATAACATTTGTCAATAAAAAGATGGTTTTTTTTAAACTACAGTGCTTCAAAAGTGTAAAATTTGAACAGAGCTATCACAGGCCGTCTTGGTAAGAAGAAAGTAAATGTTAAAGATGACACAGTGTAGTTAAGGATAGATGTACTGCTGAGGATGCGATTTCATCGCAAGATATTTCAGGAATTCACCACCATTATAATAAAACTCTTCACTGATGACTTTTTCATTTTCAAAGTGCAGGTAAAGGGAATCAAGTCTGACAGAGAGTGGATTTCTAATACTCATCTTTTAAGTGGGGCCAAAAATTGCCATCTTGGAAGCTAGAATGAAGGCAGGCAGCATCTGGAAAGATGCTGAAGCAATCCATGAGGATTTTACAAAAACCTATAGAACAGAGAGTGACCTTTGCAATCTGATGAAGAGAAAATCATGCTGGATCCAATTCCTCTCCATAAAAGTGTGCTGGACATGGTAGATTGTAAGGTAAAAAGAAGGCATTCTCTCCATGTCAGGAAGTTCTGGTCTATTTCAGTCTCTCACTCTAGTGTTTAATGGACTAGCCCAGGGACATTTTGTTGAGTGATCTTCATAAAAAAACTGAAGTCCATCATCAGAGTGGCTTAGGAGCTCTTAGAAATCCATCTTGTTCAGGGTACTGTTCTCAGAAACACAAGGAGCCACTTCAGGAAGAGGCACTCATATGAGTCAGATAGACAGAGAGAAGCTGACCAAACTTGAAGGAGATGAGGCTAAACACTTTATATTAGTTTCTGGGCTAGTTACTTGTTCATTATGGAGTTGAAGATTAACCCATCCTTTCTTTGCACAGTTCCTCAAAGGGAAACTTAAAAAGCAAGATAGTCTTGAAATAATATCACAACGTGGTTGAGCAATTTTAACAGTTCTTGGGGGTTATTTTTATCAGGCAAGGATTGAACTGAAGTGATCATTTTCAAACTGTCATTGAATACTTGTGTTTTCTGATTTTATCCTGTCATGTCAGTCATATTTCAGTTTGGGATAAATATTTGCAAAATGTGTATTCAAAGATGCCTCTAAGAGATAACCCATTTACTATTAATGGAGTCTTGAATTAAGGAGAGATCACATATATTTAATGACTGAGAATGTCCCTAAATGAAATTCACAACCAAAATATTAATATATGGTTTAAAGGAATAAGCCATACCTGGCATTAGTCCCCAAGTGACTTTTATATATATATTTTTCCTTCTATTTTACATAAGGCATTATAACCATTTTTTAAATTTCTTACTACAAACTGTTTTAGTTTCCTAACTAAAAAATGATCAAATTAAAAAAAAAAAGGACGACACACCCTTGATTGGGCCATGCTCGGAATTTACTCCCTATCTATTGGCTGTGCCTTGTGGCATATGGGATCATAATTCTTCCCTAACCAGGAACCTGACCCATACCTCCTGCAGTGGAAGCATGGAATCATAATCGACTGGATTCCAGGGACGTAGCATGCTCACGTTCTTTCTTCTTGTCATCAGTCACCTGATTCTCCAGCTTCACTTTTCTCCTCACTCTCTTTCTCCCATTACCCTCTCACCTTTCTGTCTGTGCTAGCCCCCTCCAACAAAAGCTTTGAAACATGACCCCCCTTGATTTGGGCACTATTGTGTTGTTCACAGTTCTCAGACAGGCGCATTCAGGGGCATTGTCATCCTCCTAAGCTTTGGGAAGAGGCTGGGAAGTGGAGTGAAGGTAGAGCCTCTTCTCCTGTGAGAGATGCACAGGTGGATAGGAAAGGCCCACAGACTGGCTTAACATAGTGAACTTGAACTTGAGTTCTGGCAAGTCAGAGCACACATGCCTCCTACTATGGAGTGTATAGAACTAGCCTGTGAAGTCTGGGTGTGAGTGAGACTAATCAGACAGGGCCAAGACTAGTCAGGACTAATCAGACTAATCCTGACTGAGCCAGGCTTTCATGGAATCATCAGATTGAGTCAAGTTCAAATGAATGAAACTATTTATGAACTTAAAAATACCTTATTTAGGGACTTACTTGGAGGTCAGTGGTTAAGTGTCCATGCTTCCACTGCATGGGGCGTGGGTTCAATCCCTGGTTGGGGAACTAAGACCTGGCTTGCCCCGTGGTGCACCCTAAATAAATAAATAATAAAAATAAAAGACATTATTTAAATATAGTCTCTTTTCCCTGAAGTCTTTTTTTTTTTAATTTTTTTGTTTTTTCTTTTTATTGGAGTATAGTTGATTAACAATCAACTATAGTGTGTTAGTTTCTGGTGTACAACAAAGTGATTCAGTTATACATGTTTACATATCTATTTTTGTACTTCACATCTCTCTGACTTAAAAGTATTTACTCGTATAGGAAGTAAGGCTTGGTGACACAGGTAGTGCCATTTCCTTGGCAAAGGCCTAAAAGAGTTTAATTATCTTAACAGAAAGCTCTGTAGATATGATAGCTAGCATATACTTAGGCAAGAAGAACAGAGTTTCTATCATACACATTTTAAGTCTCCCCAAACTTTTCAAATATTTATGGGATTTAAATTTTCAAATGCTTCCTTCAGGTATTTATTACATATGTGTTTGTGCATTAAAATATTTATGAATGGAATGATTGTATCGGTTGTCTCTTTGCTTGGTCTTGTAATGTGGTTCTGTAAGGGCAGCTAAGGATATTAACATGGGAGCAAGGTTAGAATGGTAATCACTTGTCACGGAGATAAGTTGAAACCCAGATAGAAGCTCCTTTCAGAAGTTAGTGCCCTGATTGAGCACAGCACTGTGATGGTGCCTTGAGAGCTAGGATATGCTCCTCTTGATACATTGCTGTGGGAATGGTAATAATATCCATTTTCATTCCTCCAGGACAGCTAAAGCAGGTATAAACATTGTTTAAGGAAGCACATAGGGCACTTGCTGGAATTTATCATGAAAACAGTCAACCTGTCCATCTGCCTTAAGAGTTCTACAAGTCAAATACATTGACAGTCCTTTTTAAAACTGTTGCTAGGGTGTATATTATATCAGACCCGTCTTTTATGTTTTTCTTTTATATGGGGGACATTTTACTTTGGAATAGAGATAGAAATTTGTGAGGATGGGCTTCAACTCCGTAGTTTTAAAAGCTGGAGAGAATTTCAGCACACACTGTCTTGGTTTGATTCTAAATGAAGACTTAAAAGCTCATTTAAAAGTATATGACATTATAGATCTTTTAAAAAGCATCCTGGAAATTGAGGGTATGCTAAAAGTTATAGTGCTTGAAAATGACCCAGGAAATCTAGAAGTCGAAACCAGAGTGTTTTGTATTTTAATTAATCTGTGATACTACTTAGTGAAGTTAGTGGTATTTATACAGGAAGGTAAAAGTACTTGCTTGTTAAGAAGGGAATGTACCAATCAGATCCGATTTCCTTGACCCATGAATAATTCCCTTGTAAACAGATTGAAACTAAAAGTTAACTGTCAGGCATGCCCTGGGTTTAACTGCCAGTGCCTCCACTTGCTCTCTGGATGACCTTGGACATATTGCCTATTTTTTGTAAGCCTCAGTGTCTACAGCTTTAAAATGGGCGTAATTAATTGCACCTGCACCTATTTCTTTCAGTTATGCGGATGAAATAAAACTGTGCATGTGGGAATGAACCTTACATGGTGTGTGGCACATTGGAAATAATTGAAATATGGTGGTTCTTCATAGATTAAGAAAAACAAACAAAAGAAAAAAAAATTCAGTGGGCTCGCTCAAATAGGCATTTGCATACTAAATGTTAATTTCTGAAATGCTTGATGTTAAGCTTCAACTCAGAACAGATTTGCATATAAATATTTGGAAATAGCAAAGGAATGATGGGAGGAAAATAAATAAAAGAATTCTACTTATACATATGTTGAGAGGTTATCTGTTATATCTCATCAAACCTTGAAAATGGCAGAAGTACTAAAAAGGCTTGAGAATAGGATCTGATCTGCCTAGAAAACTCTGGCTACCAAAAACACCCAATACCTCTAAAGGGGAACCTCTGCACAATTTAGTAATTATAATCACTCTAATTACAAGGAAACTTTCTTTTTGGTATTCTGATGGTGATTTCCCCATGGCCCAAGCAATCTTGTGATTTCCCAGAGAGTCTCCATAAAATTAATTACAGTACATAATATGAAGTTTTTTTTAAAGGACCAATACATGTTTATGAAACTTCTGGCAAGTCACATTGACAAGCTTTGCAGTCTACTAGTCCTTTGTAGGGGCACAGCGGGTAGACTTTATGAAATACCACTTAAATTTATCACCGTGGTTGTGCTGGTTAACTGCAGTCATAAAAACAGACTAATATTATGCTCTTAATATTGTGATAATGGTAATAAATACATGCCACCCATAAAAAAGATGGTCTTCAATTTTTGAGTAGTTTTTACGTGCCAGGCACGAGCCCAAACGCTTTTCCTCCCAGGTCGTTTTTGCATCAGTGTTCTTAGATACTTCTGTTATTCTGTATGTGTAGGTAAGGAAACTCAAGCGTAGAAAGTCTAAGTAACTTTCCTTCAAGCCCCAGCTAGTAAATTGCAAAGTTTGGGTTGCCAAGCCAGGTAGTCTGAGTCTAGCCACTGACCTTGTAACCAATACAACTGACAAGCTTGAGAAGCACCACGTCCCCATCTTGGAGGGTCACAGGGTATACTGGCACAATTAAGGGTCTATGGGGAAAACAAAACACAGACACGCAAAAACATTTCTGTTTCATCCACTGTTTTTCACCCTTACTTGACTGCAGATTACTGTTCCCTCAGATTCTGGTGCAGCATTTGGTAAAACAGGTTCTGTGGGAGACGTCATTCTGGAGCATGAACTGGATTCACAGTTTTTGTTCACCTGATTGAGTTTCATTTTCTTACTGATCTTGCACCACCACTATCCAGATCATAAGCTTTAGGGCTGGAATAGAAACTGTTAAAATCATATTTCAACTGTCTCATTTTGCAGCGAGTTTAAAAAACTTAAACACATTTCCACAGTAATAAATACAAAATAGAAATAGCAAGGGCACTGGCTGCAGTCAGTGTATATTGAGTGCTTACTATATGTCAGATACAGTGCTAAACATTTCATATACTTTAATCCAAGAAAAGGGATGATTATTGTCGTCATCCCTTTCAAGGAAAAGAAGACATACAGATAATGAGTCAAGGACAAAGAGATTTGAACCTGGGTCTGATCTCCAGCCCTTTGCTTTTAACAGCTATTTGTAATGAAAATAGAATAACAGAAAGTCAGACCTAAGCTGAGTAGCATTTTTAGCAAAGTACAATGGAAGATAGAGCACAAATAAGTGGGATTAGTGAGATATCCATAGAAACTTGGTTATACGTGATGGGTAGATACATGTATTCCACAAACTATGGAGTGCCTACTGCCAACCTCAGAACACCTGGAAACTCCTAGACTTCATGGCACAGTGTGAAGTAAAGGGGTAGTTTATAGGCTAATCTAAGAACTTCACCCCCACATTATCATTTTCTTGATTAGAAAATGTGTGGCAGGTTCCCAACTGTCAATCTAAAAATAAATTCAAATAGTGCAACATAGTCATCATTGTTTACTATCTGCCTTGATCTGAATGGAGAAATAGTTAGTAAAAGAACATAAGACTGATACTATGTAAATTATTTTAATATATGTTTATACATGCATGTCAGTTAGCAGTTTGTAGGCATGTTCATGAGTGTTTTCAAATCCTAGGTTTCCAAGCTCCCAGAGATTAATGAAGTTGTTTATGAATGTGTTTAGTGAAGAAGAAAGTCAATTTACATAAGAATATAATCATATTTGTTACATTAGGGTGGCTTCCTGATTTGTACAACTTAGATTTACATACTGGCTCTGACTAATGCAAGTTTTAAAAATAACTCTTCATGAGTGATACTAGGCAAGATCTCACAGGATTCCACATTTTTAGTTGTGTTTCATTAAAAGCTTTGGAGAAGAAAGTAGATATTCTCTGGATGTGTATTTATTAGTAGCAAGAAGTTAGAACACTGACTATTCACATGAGAAAATTAAGCAGACTCACTAAAGATCACCAATAAATTGCAGGGACATTAGCAGAGACATTTATTATTAGCCTGTAAAAGTCTGGGAAATAATTTTGCAGTGATTTGATGGGACTGCCCTTTTAAAGTGATGGGGGAAGAGTGAAAGGCACCTACCTTGGCTATGATTTTTAAAGTACCATTTTCTTGGGCAAACTCTTTATTTCATTTGTGGAGATACCTAGTTGGAGGAGTGTCATGGGGGTGTACATGGCTCACACCACACTCTAGTTTAGAAATGCAAGTCAGAACGTTTTGAAATGGTGACGGAGAATTCAGATGTCATTCAGGTGTGGGGCTTGTGCGCATCTGATTTGATCCTGTCTTCTCCGGGGCCTTCGTTTCATGATGCTCTGTCTTACCCTGCAGAGTCTTCGAATGCCACTCTGCTGACCAATGCAGAGAAGATAGCCACCATCACCACTACACACACCCCTTCGCAGCAAGGAGCCCAGGAGACCAGGTCAGATATGACTTTGGCTTCTTTTGTTACTTTCAGGGGGAAAAAGTAACTCCTGGTGGTGTGATGGTACTTCTCTTTGATTCTTTCTCACGCTCTCCATGGGTTGCTCTTATATATATATATATATATATATTTTTTTTTTCTCTCTTGCTTTGGCAGGAACACCACCAAACCAAAGCCAGAATCTCAGTTTGAATTCAAAGCACCCCAGGCAACACAGGTGAGGACTGTGTCTCTTTTTGCCTTGTTGGCTTTGTGCATTTCCTTCCAATTTTCTGAAGCCTCTTTTTACCAGGTATCTTATAAGCTACTCGCAATTAACATAAATAACCTTTTATGTACTAAATATATACTAAACATCAACTCACATTGGGTTATCAAGTAAATAACATTATTTTACTACCTTTGAAAAATATCCCTAGACATCCTTTTTCTGGAGGCAGGGGGTGAGGAGGACCAAACAAAATAAAATGCTATCAATTAACTCAATAGTAGGTGATCAGAGAAAGAGCAAAACAGGATATAGCTGGTCATGGTATTCGTAAAGGCACTTATGGCAAGAAAATGTCTTTTGGTTAAGCTGTTTCTCAGATTTGTGAATTTCAGGTGAGGCTCCTAAAGCTACCTACCTGTCCCACAAGGTGATAATGGAGGGTACACAAGTGATAATAGGTGAAGCAGATTTGGGAAACATTGGGTGGTGATACAGAGTTAAGTCTTTTTTTTGTTTTCCCTCCCCCTCACTGGCCTTCTCAAAGCCTTTCCTAATCTTTTCCCAATTCTCCTTAACTAGCATAGGAACCACTGTCAAGATGTGTGGAGCTTGTTGTTGCTATCCAAATGATGAGATATTTTAGGGCCTTGGGCAGGGAGACTAAAACACCAGCAATGTGCAGGATGGTATTATTTAATGAAGGATTTTCCTGTCACAAATGCAAGTCACAGCCTCACTGATTAAATTTTAATATATGCGTGTTGGTATGCAATCTGTATGCACACTCATGAATGTTTTCACATTCTGGATCTCTAAACTCCTAAGGTTAATTGATATTAATAAACAATTAGAAACCACCAAGAAGGGAATACAAATTTTGCCTTTGGGTCAAATGAGCCATAATGGAGAGTGTTTGGGAAGAGAGAGAGAAATGTGTGTCGATTTAAGTCCTCCCAGAATAACTGCGTTTAATTTCTTTGAATAGGAGCAAGATTTTTACACTGTGGAGCTGGAAAGAGGAGCCAAGGGATTTGGTTTCAGTCTTCGAGGCGGTCGAGAGTATAACATGGACCTCTACGTTCTGCGCTTAGCAGAGGATGGTCCTGCGGAAAGGTGTGGGAAGATGAAGGTAAGTCGGGAGAGGCATCTGGGGTGGATGTAAATAAATCATCTACAGTGACTTCGTGACATCTTATGATTAGAACCTGCACGCTCGTGAGAATTACATGTTTCTACAGCTTTTCATCTCTCCCTCAAGCTTAGATGTATCTACCAGAATTAGGTGAACTCTTCCAACTCTGGCGTTGAATAAAGGATTAAAATCACCCATGAACTTACTAAAGTGGATATTGTCTGAATCCCATTTCCAAATCCCAAGCCCGTTTTCCATTTCTTGTACTTAATCTCGTATTACTTCCCTGGAATTCCTGGGTATCCCAGCATGCTTTGAGAGCAGGAAGCCACGTGGTTTTGTAGGTTCTGGGTGGTGAGCTCCATTCAGTCTCTCACTAGTCACTGCCACCTTCCTCTGGCCTCAGGAATGAGTTAACTGTCTTTCTTAACAGTGGGCCAAGGACACCATAGCATGAATATTTAAGATCATTTGGTAGTACTCAATAATGCAAATTTTAAATGCACACATACCAAAAACCCACTGTGTTCTGTTTCGATATCTAATATATCTTACCACATATGAATATGTTGCTCTTATGGGCAGATCAAATGATTTAAAAAAAAATCATTTGCTCATTATATCTAGGGGGCATAGATTGAGACATTGGGAGCAATTTGGAAGGAATTAAAAGAATTTGAGAGTCAGATCAGGAAAGGAAAAAAGTGAATAAAATGAGTCCTTAGCAGAAAGGGGGAAAAGTGACCAAAGATGAGGAATTTAATACTTGTAACTTAAGACAGAATCTTGAAGTTTATATTTCTGAAGACTGAATTTTTTAAATAATCTTTTTTTTTAATTGAGAAAGTGGACCAGGAATGTGATTTTTTAGAATTAGATAAAAAAATGATGCATAGTAAGAATATAATTTCCAAGGTCAAACTATGTACAAATTTCTTATATATCCTTCCTCTATACATACACATGCATAATTTGTGCATATACAGTGGTATATAGTCTTTTGTTCATATTTCCAAACACATGGATTTTGCTTTTCCCTTTACTCATTTTAAAAAGTTTCTGATTGAAAGAAATACCATTATTATGATATTTTGTATAATGTTACATAGTTCACCTGACATACTGTAACATTTAATTGGACTTCAACATTTTAGGCATGAATTGTTACCCTACCCTTACTCAGATGAGGAAATGAACTGCAAAAAAGTAGAGGGCTTAACCAAGATCACTTAGCTATCAAGTGATAGGACTCAAATTCAGTGCTTTAAACTCCAGCACCAATCTTTTTCTCTTCTGCCTTCTAGAATATGTGCTTCTCGAGAGGACGTATCTGGCCTATCTTGTTCACTCCTTTACCTCCAATGTATTAGCAGTCAAGTGTATCAGCCAGGAGTGTGGTCTCATCTGAAGGCTCCTCTAGGGAGGGATTTGCCTCTAAAGCTTCATGGTTGTTGTCAGGATCAGTGCATCTTGGGCTGTTGACCCGAGCCCTCTCTCGTTTCCGTACCATAGGCTCTATAGGGCATCTCACAACAGGCATCAGAATAGAAAAGTGAGATGACAAATGAGGGCCAGTAAGGCAAAAGCCAAAATTATTTTGTAACCTTATCTTTGACCTCTCATCACATTTCCCATGTTCTGTTTGTTAAAAGCAAGTCATTGATTCCAACTCACATCCAAAGGATAGGAGATTACACAGGATGTGAATTCAAGTAGGCAAGGATCATTGGGGGCCATTCTAGAAGCTATTGACCACATCCTTTTTCTTCAGTAACTTATATTTCCCTCTGCTTTATTTTTTTACCTTAGCACTTACACGATCTAGCATACCATGTATTTTTTTAAGTTGCCTGTTGTATTGTATTTCCCATATTAGAATGTCATCTCCTTGAGGACAGAGAGTTTGGGTTTTTTTTTTTTTTCATTTCTGTTTCCTAAGTAATAGAAGATTTTTCTGGAACATGTTCAATGAGTAGTTGGTCAGTCAGTAAGTGGAAGGATTTGAAATCATAAAGCACCTCCGTAGCTGATGAAACCCTTTGGTGATCTTCTCACTTGTCTCTCTCTTTTTGGCAGGTTGGTGATGAGATTTTAGAGATCAATGGTGAGACCACCAAAAACATGAAGCATTCTCGGGCTATAGAACTGATTAAGAATGGTGGCCGCAGAGTGCGTCTGTTTCTGAAGCGGGGAGACGGCTCGGTCCCAGAATATGGTGGGTCAAACTATGAAAACATTCCTTCCTTCCCTGGCATGACTCCATGAATTTGTCTCCAGAACTGCAGCAGGAAAGTCTTTTTGTTTCCCCTATTCACCAGTGTCTTACCAGCCTCTTGCACCATGTGATTATTTGCCTCGCTTGTTCTGAAATCTCTACACATTTCATCCTTTTGCTTGCTCACGTGGACTGGGGCATGGTCTAAGACAAGATCTTTATATAGCCCCCTTTCTGATAATCAGAGAGAACATTTTGTCTAGTCCGACCAAGAGCGAAGGAATGTTTGTTTGAACTGTGCCAAACCGTTTCTCAGATCCAATTAGCACAAAATGACTCTACTCCTTTTAAGAAGCAGGAAAGCAGGTTTCCTGAGTGATAATGTTGAGGCACAATTTTTTTTTCTCCTCTCTCGTTTTTGATTACTTGATACCTTTATTTAAGAGGCATGAATTTTGGAGATGATTTGGGGGCCTTGCTCAGCATCAAGGAGGTGTATACAGTTCTCCTGCATCCCTCCCACTGGTCCCTACCCCAAATCAGACCACCTGAGCCCACAACTACAAAACAAACAAAACTGTTGAAACTTTAGCCATATGTTTTTAGATGATAAAGGATGAAATCAATTCCCAGTGCCCATCATGAGGGAAACATGTTACTATACCTTTCCTGTGAGGAAAGCCAACTTATGCATAGAGTTCCTTTGTCATATCTGTAGACATGATTTGACTAAACAGCAATGATCTTTACATAGCTTAGTGTTCTGATGGCGAAATATTGTATATTATAATAATTATGTCCTATTTGAGATTCTTGTTTAAAATTTAAAGGAAAAAAAAAAGCTATGCCCTAGATGTAGGGCTCTTCTTCCCAACCAAAGGTCTACAAAAGTTTCTATAGAAACTGTGATTGAATGGTCCCCATATACATCGGTCCCCTTTATTAGGGATTTATCTGTTATTGCCCTTTTTTCTGAAAGTCATTTGGCACAATTCCCAGTTGCATTTTGGACTTGATGAGATCCTTAATTCAGATGCAGCTCAAGGAGAACGAGAACTCCTTTGAAGGACAGTCTCCCCAGGTGTTGGACATCCATACAGGTGCAAAATAATAAGGGGCCCATGGCGGGGGAGGGGTGGGTATCTGATGAGGCCCCTTTAGACATGCCCAACCACAGGGGAAGTATTTTGACAACATTAAGATGCCACAACTGTGCACTGTACTAAACCTTGACTGTAGGTGTATCGATGCCACTGAAACTGTGTAACATTGTCTCCCTTTTCTGTCTTCCCTATGCTTCTGTTGGATGTGATCTTTCATTTGCGAGTCATCATCAGTAACCTGTGTACCTTCTCAAAACCTATGTCTGTTGCACTGAGGATGAAAATCCAACACTAACCAATGTTCTTTGGGCTAAAAATAAAGATCATTTCAATACACCGTTTTTTTTTTTTTTTCCCCAAAAGGGTTGAATGTGCCAGAGTTGTGCTACTGTAACGTCTCCATGTGTCATTGGGACTAAATTTCTCTAATTCTATTGATTAGAGTCACAAATGGGTTATAATATGTTAAGTTCCAATATTTTTCTGACTTGATTGGAACCTGCTTCTCTGTGAGGCTATTTTTGTAATGAGTTTTTTGTACTTAATTTAACTGCCGCGGTCTTGGGGGGCGGGGAGGGGGAGGGAGGGAACTTTGTTCTTTTGTTGTTTATTGTTAATGCTGCTCTCCTATGCCAGCCTGTCATTGTTCCAGTTGTTTGAAAAAGAAAGAAAGTAAAAGAAAAAAAAGGATGCATCCATTGTCTGGGTTCTCTCACGTTATCTGGCTGTCTGAAAACGTCACTGTTCTGATTTTGGTCTCTGCAGCCTTATTAAGTGTTGCCTTAGACTGTCTGACTGGACAAATAAACTCTCTTTACCCTGTGTTAACAAATGCAGATTTTTTTTTCTTTCCTCTTTGTTATAGGGAATCTAAATGTTCAACTTTTTCTCTTTCTCTCTTTCTCTCTCTTCTCTGACTGTTCTTGGTGCTGGGCCCTCCCTTCTACAGCGATGATACCTCCTAATATCGCTGCATGTATGAGAAATGAAAAGCTCGGGGAGGCTTGCTTCTACCTTATGGGCCATAATCAAACTACGGTTTGTAGCTCAATCAATACTAGGTGTTTCTGTGCTGTGGCCTAATTTCCTCATTGCTTCTGCTTTAGCTCTGTTTTGATATGTTTGGCAATTCATTCTGAGCACCCTGCGTTCTTTGAATTGTAAGTACACCACTGACTCTGGAAGCCTTACTCTCCCTTCTCTTACATATAGGTGTAGAAAACCCCAAGGTTAGATTTAGGATGGTCACTGAAGCCCCTTCCCTCACCTAGATCTTAAAATGACTTCTTAAGCCTCTGTGTGGTATTTCTAGACATGTCCCCAGCATTCCAAAAGAACAAATCTCAGATCACAAAGCTCTCACCTAGAGAGATAAAACTCTGCTAAAACAGGAAGATGAGATTTCCTACTTAGTTATCTCTTGTCAAATGACAGTCCAGGGGCCAAATCTTGTTCACAGCCTGTTTATGAATTGATAAGTAAAGTTTTATTGGCACATAGCCATGCCCATTTCTTGTATGTGTTGTCTATGGCTGCTTTTGCCATATCGTGGCAGATGAACAGTTGTGACAAACTATGTGGCATGCAAAAACCATAAATATTTTACTCTTTGGCCCTTTACAGAAAGAAGTTTACTGATTCCTGCTTTAGGCTATGTTCCTGTTTTTGTTAAAACTTACTCTAGGTTTTGGGAGATCATTTGTGAAAGATTAATTGCCTAATGTTGACCTTGTTGACTCATGAAAGATCCTTAAAGAGCACCCATGATTCCTTAGTCTCTGTGACTGTGGCCTGGTTTGTCCTCTGTGCTGCAGCACATCATTTCTGGTGCCTAGCCTGGAATGGGATAGTATGTATGACTTACTGGGTTTAGGTATGACAAAGCTTTGAAAAGAACTCTCATAAATCCAGGATGCTATTTAATGTTTTTGCAGTGTCATTTCAGATAGTTTAACAATAAACAGGAGCCTTTATGGGGCTCCCCTGCTTTTTAGTCTATAGATGTCTTAAGGTTATAAAAAGTCGCCCAGTGAATCCACCTTAGATGTAATTATGGCTGCTTTTATAGCATCAAGAAACGTGCCTCTATGCCAACCCCATGTAATGTCAAATGTGCACGTGACAGCCTCTCTTCCACTTCCTTTTATCTGTCAGATGACCCCACAGCTTAAAAAGAGTTCCTTAAACATATGCAAAAATAAAGAAAATAGTTGGACAGCACTCACACAGGTAGAGAGAATGTTTAATGGACCCTCCCATAATGTCACATTTGCCTGTCGTCAACATCTGGCTGTGTTGCCTCTGTCATCACCAGCCTGGATTTCTTTTTTTTTCCCCCTTAATGAAAGTATACTTTGCTTACAGTAGCATTCATAAAGCCTGAGGGTCCAGAGCAGTGAATTTCTACCTCTCTATGCACCCATTTAATCCCCACTCAGATCAAAACATAGATTCTTTCCATTCCCTTACAAAGTTCCCTCATGCCCCTCCAGTTCAACAGCCCAGATTTTTGTAAGCAAATTAAAACAATCTTTAAACAAAGGAATATTTTCTGTCATGGGGTGAGGGGAGGAAGGGTGATGGCTGGGGGAAGAAAGAACAGGAGATACTAAGGGGGAAGGCCGTTTTGATACTTCCAGACAGATTACTTGGGTTATTCCTTTAAAGACTAAACTCATGACTGATGTTACAAGTTGAATGATCTATATGAGTATAAAGATAGTAGGCTAGCTGCCAAAAGCCACAAGTACCAGTTTTTAACCCTGGCTAGTTGCAGTTATACTTTAACTAAGAGTCAGTTTGGCTTTGATTCTGACTGCTTTTAACAGTTGTTTGTTTGTTGTGACTAATGGGGTCTCAAGAGGGCGGGTGGGGACAGGAGCCAAGGTCCTTGATGCCAAACTGTTACTCTCGTTTCTCTTCCTGGCAGACCCCAGCAGCGACGGGAACGGCCCCCCCACCGGTCCACAAGGTGTTCCGGAAATGAGGGCTGGGCCCCCTGACCACCGACAGCATCCATCATTGGAGTCCAGTTACCCACCCGATCTTCACAAATCATCACCACATGGGGAAAAGCGGGCACACGTGAGAGATCCCAAAGGCAGCAGAGAGTATAGCAGACAACCCAATGAACACCACACATGGAATGGAACTTCTAGAAAACCCGACAGTGGGGCTTGCCGACCCAAGGACCGGGCACCCGAGGGACGAAGAGACGCCCAACCCGAGCGGATGGTGACCAATGGCCCCAAGAGGAGGTCTCCGGAGAAGCGGAGGGAAGGCACGCGCAGCGCGGACAACACTTTGGAGAGAAGGGAGAAGCAGGAGAAGAGGAAGGAGGTTTCCCCGGAGAGGAGGCGAGAGCGGTCCCCGACCCGCCGGAGGGACGGCTCTCCAGGCCGGCGGCGGCGGTCTCTGGAGAGACTCTTGGATCAGAGAAGATCGCCCGAGCGCAAGAGAGGAAGCTCGCCCGAAAGGAGAGCCAAATCCACCGACCGGAGGCGAACCAAGTCCCCTGAGCGGAGGAGAGAGCGGTCCCTGGAGAAAAGAAACAAAGAGGACAGAGGCAGCCACCGGGAGAGGGAAGAGACGAGTCTAAGACAGGACGCCGGCCGGAGTTCCAGACATCCCCCGGAGCAGCGGAGAAGACCTTACAAAGAATGTAGCACCGACCTCAGTATCTGAGAGCCTGCGTCACATTTCCAGCCTTTACCATGTCAAAGGTTCGAAGAGGAAGCTCACAAACCTGAAATCATTTAGTTTCTTACCTAATGAAGCATCTGACGTCAGCCTGATGATCCTCTGACTAGCGACATTTGATATCTTATAAGAAAAAATATATATATATGAAAAGTGTTGTGCCTGATGTATCATATTAAAGAAAGTATTTTTAAATGCATACTTTTTTGGGAAATTATTTGCTAAATGCTTCCCCCAAAGGGATATAAATTTTGTTTCTACATAAACTGTAGAATTGTTAAGAATTGTTCCCTTTGGGGGGGGGGGTGTGATCTTTTTCTCTCCTGGTTAAGTGGGGCTGTTGATCATTTTCTCTAAGTAAGGAAAATTATTGATCAAATTTAATTAATTTGATGGAGACTGTTATGTACTGATGTAGTGCTGTAGTTTAGTTAGGAGTTTGGTGGGGGTTTTTTTTTTTTAATAAAAAAAGCAAAAAGGCAAAAGTTATATTTGTAAAAGCTGAGGACTCTTTGGAATGAATGAGGATTGCTGATGATCCTAAAGTTAAGCAAACTGTATGAAGAGACTACTGTTGCAAATGAAGGATATTTATAGCTAAAGGACACAGCACAAAGCACAAAGAAATATTATGTTCTCAAGTTATTGTCCGTTCAGAAAACAGTTTGTACTCTCCCTAGCTATAGAAAGGTGCAGAGAGGAGAAGTTTGGTCACCATTACCTAAATGCAGCCCAAACACAGATGGTCAGGTTCATTAGCATCACCAACATTGAATGAGAATCTCATTAAGGCAGTGCCATGAAAGTTTTGCTCAACTACTAGAAGGAATACACAGCAAACACCTTTGGTGTTGTCTTGCCTGATTTGAGACTGAATAGTAGACTGCATGGGAGACAGTGTGCCAGTGTGAGGAGCCCTAAGAATCACTAGTACAGAAAGCTAAGTTTCCCCTTTTTATCATGAGCCTGTGGTTGCCCTTTGTCAAACTGGGGAGAAGGGAGTAAGCCTTGGTAGAAGGAACTTCTCTGTTGATATTTAAAGAAATGAGGGTTGGGCATGCTCATTCTTAGAAATGCCAGTTTTCTTTGGAACCATAATAAAAATCTCCAAAATAGTTGAAAGAGAGAGAAGGATTCGATTTCATTAGTTCTAGATCTGGTTGACAAACATCTGCACTTATGACCCTGTCCTTTGAATCTTTGGACAGAACAAACTATAGAAATTTTTCTTTAATAGAAGACATTCTTTTGCTATCTCACAGGAGGTTTGGTTGGGTCGGCTATAGCCCCGGGTTGTGGTTGAAATGAATTACTGCCTAGCTGAGCCAAAACCCTTGCTAGTACCTGTTGGACCACGACAACCAATCGCTGCTTATGATGCATTGCGTATTTCCGTAGTACTGTTTTGCATTTTCCATACAGACACAAAACTTTGCAAGTCAATCACTGTTGTTCTCATGGTACTGTTAAAAAAAAAAAAAAAACAAAGGATAAAGAAAAAAATGGAGAAAACCAGCCAATTATCTTATGTACAGAGTTTAAAATTGTAATTAATAGAGCCTGTTTTAAAAACAAACAACTGTTGCCTTTTTTTCTTGTATAAAAGAGAATTTATGACAAAAAAATTAGCTGTGAGGAATGTGACATGTGTTTATATTTCTGAATATGGAACAAATTGATTCATTGGGATATATTTTACTGTAAACTAAATCAGGTATGTAAAGCTGTTTTAAAAATGGGAGACTATATAAGTAATTCTCTAAAGCTTTAGTTGGTTTGAGTATCGTCATTTCCTCCATGGTGAGCCTGCTTGTGAATTATTAAGCACTTGTTTGCATTTCTGTTCTTCATTCATTTCTTGCGGTGTGCTGTGGACTTGATGCTCTTTCTGTATTGATGAAAAGCAGTATGTGGGCCAATCTTTTTATAAAACACTATGCATATATAAATATTACATTGTTCATAGCTTTATTTGACTTATGGGTTTATACAACATTACAATGAGTAGCTGTCCTTCTGTGGATATGCACAAACCAAGTTCATTTCCTGGAATAGACACAATGTACATTCTATAGCTAAAACAGAGGAAAAAGTCTGAGACTGCTATTTTTATCTTCAGAGTTTTCCATACAGAGCATACATTGAGCTACAGTAGTATGGTGAGGGAGAACACAACTGAATAATGATGTTCTTTTTTCATCAATTTCCTAAGAGCCAACTAGGGATTTTATTCCTAAGGCTCCACAGCTAGGAATTCTCCCACTTATTCTAGCCAAATCCATGATGTTAAATGATCGATGCTCTCAATTGTGGTCCAGAGTTTTAAATAAATGAAATCAAGAGGTGGGTTTTTGGAGTGGATCATGAAGTTAACATCTCAGTGTCTTTCTTGTTGTCAGAGATGTTTGACATGTTAAAATCTATGTGCTACCCACCTGGGCTTGGCTTTATCCGTGAAGACTTTTAGCGTGGCAGTGTCATCTGAGTTTCATACTTTGAAAATATCGTACTGTACAGGGCCTATACACTAAGCAGAAAGATAGAGTTTTCTCTGAACTACTGTAACCTTAAATTGGAGACTGATTCTTTTGAGCCTACTTTCCCTAGTTCCCCACTTCATGTAAATGTCTTGATGAGAGATGATATGAATGAGTATTTTGTATGATGAAATCAAACCCTTTAGGAACTCCCCTCCCACCCATGAGACAGTTGATGCCTGAAAGAATGTCATGGGGAGGACTTAACACCCTACTTGTATTTTTTAAGTTTCTTTTGTGAAAGATTTTTTAATGCATTTTTACTGTAAAAATACATGGAAATGTATGCATTCCATAACCACGATTGCTTCTGGATTGATATCTTTGTCTCTGTGTTGTCTCATATGTATCAGGATCATGTAACCAAGTAAGAGTGTCTGGCTCCCAGTGCAATGAACTATCATACCATTCTGTTGAAAGGGAAGAGATGATGGTCTTTCAGTAGTATAGTGCCTTGCTACTCAAAATCCAGTCTGTAGAGCAACTGCCACCTCATCATTGGAGAGCATATTAGAAATGCAAAGTTTCAAGCCCCACTCTTGACCTACTGAGTCAGAATGTGCCTTTAACAAGATCCCCATGTAATGCACATGAAAGTTTGAGCTGCATGGTATTGCATGGAACCCTAGTGATAAAGCACAACCTGCTAAGCTAAGAATTTCATTGCCTCCTAATGGTGTAATGTTGGGCCAGTTCCTTAACCTCTTTTAAAGAATCAGTTTCCTCATCTTTGAAGAGGCCGATGTCATAGAGTTGGTGAAAGGAAATGCAAAGTGATTAGCACACCTCTGACAATCAGAAAAATCCTCAGTAAATAACACTAAACTTTTTTTAAGGAGGATTTTCTGCATTCCAATCTACTCCTTTGCATTGTCCTGGTTTATTTTCCAATCAAAATGAAGAAGTATTTTCTCTATTAAAATGGAGAAGAAGGCCTTCTATTTTAATTATAAAGTTAGCAAACAATGTGGTTCATACCACTTCACAAGTATAAAAATTACAGTGACCAGTGTTTTAAAATAGGAATCCAGAATACAATGCTGTTATAGTTAAGATGAAAATAGCCTCAAAACTTATCTTTTGGTGATAGAGATGTATGTGAAGTTAGACATACTTTTAACTCGATGAAAAGGCTAAGCAGTCAATGAGTGACTCTGCATGTATTCTGGTTGATGATATATTTTGTAATCCTTTCCAGTTTCCTTACAGTTTTTGGATTGTTGCCTCATACGACTTAGTAGTTAGGATTTACCTACAGAACCTGAGTTCCTAAGAACTCAAAAAGTATCGTGTGTGATAGTATATTGCTTTATTTTGTTACCAACATGGTGATTGTAGACAGTGCTCACTTCCCAAAACTCTCTTTTGCTAAAGATGGTATCTAGATTGGTCCCTGGCTTAACTGACAATGGGAAACTATTTGTGAAACCCTTAAATTGCACACGTTCTTTGCCTGTCATAAATGGTCACACCACAGAGAAGGTACTGAGGGTCAATTAGAGTTCTCAGGATTTTTCCTTCTGGGGAGCCAGTGTGAGACCACCTCACGTGGTCTGCATCAATTGTGAAAGTCCCTTCCGAGTTCTTCCAGGAGACTTTTCTTATCCCTCAACATCGTCAGCATGGGGGTATTCAGCACAATAAGATGCTAGTGCTTTTGCAGTATGTGGAATTACAAACTTCTAACAGAGTTGGCCCCTTCCTACAGTTATTTGTTTTTCTTTTTCTTTTTGCAGGAGTGGGCCTTCTGTGAAAATGTTTAGACAAGTTTCACCCAGTGATGTCTTTAATCATTGTGCTCATTGTCAGGGGCAGGAGTGATGCGGTTTTACTTCTCCACACCACACAAGACATCAGGTGTTCACTCGAGCCAAAGGGCAAGGCCTTTTTGAAAGCATATAGATCTCAGCAAGGTGGTGGAACAGCACAACTCAGATTGGGACTTGAATCCACTGTGTTTGAAGTGAGATCACATACCTGGCCTCAGAACTTTATAAAACTCAGATTCTTTGTGTCTCATCGCAGAAAGAATCAGTGGGAGACAAAGTCATAGGTAAGAGTGGACTTCTTTAGAGCAATACACATTCCACAGACAGAACGCAGTCTGTCTCAAAAGGCAAGAGAGACGTGATCTCAGAAAGTGAGAGCAGCCAAGGGTGAAACCCACACTACAGTGTGGAGTGTGGGCAGTCTCCGTAGGTGAGAGACCCAGAAATATGGGGTGGTTAGTTTTTATGGCCTGGATAATTTTTTTTTTGGCCGTGTCCTGTGGGCTTCCCAGGTTACACTCGCACTGCCTGTCAGTGCAAGAGGCATGCAATCTAAGAGACGCATGTTCAATCCGTGGGTCCTAAGATCCCCTGGAGAAGGGCATGGCAACCCACTCCAGTATTCTTGCCTGGAGAATTCCAAGGACAGTGGAACCTGGCAGACTGCAGTCCATAGGGT